ACCTTGTCCCTCCCAACCTGACCAGGCTCTGGTGGACCCTCTCCTTCCTCCAGTGAGTACTTGCTGAGGCTGAAGGAGATGCGGCCATAAGCTGACAACATCCCACGAAGACCTCATACGGGCTGAGGGGCCAGTGGAGAGCAGAGGCCCTGAGCACTACTGCCTGGGTGCCTGTCCTAGTCCCTCTGAAAACTAAGATGAGTAACTGCTCACCCTGAGGTTGCTTTCCTGACTGATTATTTCACAATCTAGAAGCAAGAACTGTTTACAAAACAGAAACTGGCTACTGTGTCACAGCCTTCTCACCCCTTCCTAGGCGCTTCCCCTTGTATACACAGCTGGGGCCTCACTCCTCTCACAGATCAGAGAGTCCGGGTCCTCCGGGCACACACTTGGACACAGCAGGCCCCTCAGGCCTCCAGGATGCCCATCCCTGCCTCCTGGCCCCGCCCTCCTCCTTGCCTGCTGCTGACTCTACTGCTGGGCCTCCCAGGTGAGCACTCCTTGGGGTAGAATATTCTCTCCCTGCCCCTGGACTTCTTCCTTCCCCTGGAATTGGAGTCTCCAGGAAAACAGGGTGCATCACCGAATGCTGCCAACAGGGCAGTATCTGAGCCCATGAAGTCAGGGATCCGAGCGTTTTCTCTGTGGGTCCATCGCCTGCACCTGGTTACCAGAGGCATCAAGACAGATGATGCTTCAAACCGCAATAGCGACAACTCTGTGTGCATGAAACCCGCTGGTCATCCCCGATGTGCACATGAGGAAACTGAGGCAGAGAAATGTGTCCAGTGTCACCTGAGTAAGGCAGTGGTTCAGCCTGGATTTCAGCCCAGGCCGAGCAGCTCCAGAGCTCACTCCTTTAACCATGTTTAGGGTTCGCAGTGGAGGCCGATTGAGGAAAAATCAGAAACACAGAAGTAAACCGAAGAACAGTCATCACCCATCAGGCCGCTCAGAGACCGAGCTCAGATGCTGCTGTTTACTCAGGAACTTCTGTTAATACGTTGCGTGGTTCCTATGTGCCAAGTATGTTGCTGAGCATTTACTATGTATTATAATTTTATTTTTTAAAATATATTTTATTAATTTTTTTACGGAGAGGAAGGGAGAGAGATGAAGAGAAACATCGATGAGAGAGAAACATCGATCAGCTGCCACCTGCACACCCCCTACTGGGGATGTGCCCACAACCAAGGTACATGCCCTTGACCGGAATCAAACTTGGGACCCTTCATTCTTCAGGCTGATGCTCCATCCACTGAGCCAAACCAGTCAAGGCTATGTGTTATCATTTTATTTAATCCTCACAAAAACCTGTGTACTAGCTTGCGAGGCTATCCTCCTATATATATATTTGTGATGCATGTATCTGTGTGTGTGTGTGTGTGTGTTGGTGTAAGGGAGTGCATGCACATACATACACACACACACTATATTTTTGAAAAGCCTTTTATTTTTGTTCTCTTCAAATCCTCTTCATGAAATGCATACGAACAGATGTTTAGTTCCCTCTGTCTCTCAGACACCCTCCCTTCTTTCTACTTCTCTAAACTTACCACTGACCCTCCCCAAATTGCAAGCTCCTCTCTTGGTGAAATAAGTAGAATTTTGTTCATTATTAATGTGGCGTCCCTCTCCCATGATGGAGGGGGGTGAGGAGGAAAAAAAAGGGGATAAAAGACACAGAGACTCCTGTCTATATCTGTAACTATATCTATGTCAACATCTATATCCACAGCTCTCTTTCTACATCGACATCTACACCTACATCTACATCTACGTCTGCATCTGCATCTGTGTCTACATCTTTATCTATATCTACACATGCCTACGTCCATATCTATATCCTCTAATGTCAGTTGAAGCATCAAGGCAGCAGGAAGTATAATGAGTAATAACTTTTCAATTTCTTGAACACCCACCATGTGCTGATACTGTTAGACATTCTAGTGTCTGTTTTCTCATGTTAATACTCTATCCAAAGCCAATCCTGTTGTCGCCCTTGCCTACAGGAGAGAAAGCAGAGGCACAGAGACTTTCATGGCCACCCGGTGGTAAATGGTGGAGCTATTATTTGAATTCAAACAGTCTGATCCTAGAGCTCATGGGTTTCATCTTTACCCCAGGTCCTTTCCATGAGATTTCTGCCGCCTGTGACAATGGATGTAGGGAAGAGGGGTGAGTGGGGGAGAGAGTTTGTGGTTTTCTGCTCTTGGGTTCTTCTGCTTCCTGCATACACACAGAATGCTTCTGTGTGTGTGTGTTAACATCTAGTTGAGAAACTCCGTTTCTGACATAAGTTCCACCGACTTGCACACTTAAAACAGGCTTTAGAGTTTCAGAGAGGGGTCTGACTGGGCAGTTCACACATATGATACACATCTTTATTGGATATCGACTATGCACCAGGAGCCATTATAGGAACTTGGGGTGCAGTGGTGAATGTAAAAGCTTAAGTAGCTGTCCTCATGCCCCTTATATCCCAGTGGAGAAATGACAGTAAATAAATAAGTAAATAATACAGAAATG